TTCCACACTCCAGGCATTTATAGGGTTTCTCTCCTCTGTGACTCCTTTCATGTCCAATAAGACTTCTCTTAACACAAAAACCTTTTCCACACTCCAGGCATTTATAGGGTTTCTTTCCTGTGTGGTTTTTTTGGTGTCTCCTTAGGTAACATTCTTGGGTATAGCATTTTCCACACTCCAGGCATTTATATGGCTTCTCTCCTGTGTGGATTATGCGGTGTACACTGAGGCTTCCTTTTTGATGAAAGCATTTTCCACATTCCAGGCATTTATATGACTTGCCTACAATATGGCATTCCTCATTGTGTGCAGAGTGTATACTAGATGCCTCCTGGAAGAAGCCATTCTCATAGACAGGGCTGTTTCCAATCTCCCTGCTTTCGTCTATTGTCTCTTTGATTGTGATTTCCCTGATGTCGACAGGGCATTGCTTCCTGCTATATTCTTCTGCTTCTGTTTTTAGCCTTTTTTCTTCCTCCTTTTTCCTTTTCGCTCCTTTCAACCACATTTTATTTGGAGCTCCCCCATTTTCACTCCTATTTCCATCACCACCTTGAAAGAAGGAAAACAAAAAGGAGAAAGGCATGAGAAAAGGGGAGATTGAAATTATTCAACTACAGAAATGTTGTGAGAGGGAGAACGAAGAGGTGAGAATCTTCTTATGGAGGAGAGAAATGTGCCTCATCAAAGGATTACCCTTTTCTGGAAGTTGTTGGATGGTCACTCCCACCATAACATCATCTACAGCAGGAGGAGCAACATCCAACCTGAAAATACCATGAGCCACCCTATTAAACTATGTTTAAGTAAGCACTGAGTAAATGTCCCACTGAAGAGCAGCTCCTCAGAAGTAGTGCCCAGAGGGGAATAGTTTCTTCCAGCCTGGTCAGAAACCAGAACTGCTGGCCAAAAGTCACTCCTGTTCCTGAATTATGCAGCAAAACTATAGAAAAAATGCAGCTGCTCAGCTTCTTGCGGGAATTCCGATGAGATGTCACATAACCCCAATCTTACTACAGCTGCATTGGTTACCAATTGAGCACCGGACCACTTTCAAAGTGATGGTACTCACCTTTAAGGCCTTGCATGGTCTGGGGCCGATGTACCCGAGGGACCGCCTCACCCCCTACCAACCCCAGAGAGCCCTCCGTTCTGAGGACCAAGAGCTATTGGAAATTCCCAGTGCCAAGACCTTGCGTCTAACAGCAACCAGACGCAGAGCCTTTACAGCAGTGGCACCATCACTCTGGAATACTCTGCCACCTGAAGTCTGTGCCTTGTGGGACCTATCAGCTTTCTGCAGGGCATGTAAGACATAGCTGTTTCGACAGGCATTTGATCTTTGATATTGTTGTTTTAAATTGTTTTTAAATTGTGTTAGATTTTAGCCTGTTCTTGTAAGCCACTCCGAGCCCCAGGGGAGTGGTGGCATATAAGTTTGAATAATAAATAAAATAAAATAAATAAAAAATAGCAACTCCCAAAACTGATTTTTTTTTTCCTTAACCAAGAGGCTGAGGGATTCTTACGCAGAGAAGCCACCATCCTATAATTTTCTTCCATGACCTCCCGGTGCAGGGCCTGTTGATCCGGATCCAGTAAGGCCCACTCCTCCACACTGAAATGTACAGCCACATCTTCAAATATCACCTGAAAGAAGAAAGTTAGACACACAAATCATTAGTGCTTTTTCTTCTACTAAGGACAATCCTGATCCATTGAAGTCTGAGTAAAAAATTCAAGGAAATGACTGTTAGGAGTAGCTAAGCCAACTTTTCTGAGCTGAGTCTTCTACAAAGGTGAGAGGCATCATGATGGTAAGGGAGGTCATGCATTCACCTGCAACAGTTCTGGTATGTTTGTGTTCTTGCACGAAAATGTGGATATCTATATTTGTAGCAAGTGCTCTTAGAAGGCCATGTATCCACATATTAGGGAGGAAGAGCTTGCCTCGGTCCCAGGAGAATCACCCAGGGAATCACTCTGAGGAGGAGGACACTCTGCACACACACGAGGTAGAGGAATGTTACAAGGAGAAGCACCATGATTCATTCTGTAAATTGGTATGCTGCAATGCTCCAGTGGGATTCCTTCCGAGGTGATCATCAGAGCTCAGGATGCTTGTCTATTCTTAAATTGGAAAGCACGTGTCTGTGTTTTGGATGGATGAGGAATCAGCTGAGGGATGCATGGTTCGAGAGCAGTACGTGTGAAAAAGATCTTGGGATCCTCGTGGACAACAAGTTAAACATGAGCCAACAATGTCATGTGGCGGCAAAAAAAGTCAATGGGATTTTGGCCGGCATCAATAGGAGCATAGTGTCTAGATCGAAGGAAGTCATGCTCCCCATGCTCTATTCTGCCTTGGTCAGACCACACCTGGAATACTGTGTCCAATTATGGGCATCACAATTGAAGGGAGATATTGACAAGTTGGAATGTGTCCAGAGGAGGGTTACTCAAATGACCAAGGGTCTGGAGAACAAGCCCTACGAGGAGCAGCTTAAAGAGCTGGGCATGTTTAGCCTGAAGAAGAGAAGGCTGAGAGGAGACATGATGGATGCCATCTGTCAGGGGTACTTTGAATGCAATATTCCTGCTTCTTGGCAGGGGGTTGGACTGGATGGCCCATGAGGTCTCTTCCAACTCTAGGATTCTATGATTCTATGACACGAGAGCCATGTATAAATAAGTGAGGGGAAATCATAGGGAGGAGGGAGCAAGCTTGTTTCTGCTTCCCTGGAGACTAGGACGCAATGGAGCAATGGCTTCAAACCACAAGAAAGGAGATTCCATCTGAACATTAGGAAGAACTTCCTGACTGTGAGAGACATTCAACAGTGGAACTGTTGAATGGAATGTGGTGGAGGCTCCTTCTTTGGAAGCTTTTAAACAGAGGCTGGATGGCCATCTCTCGAGGGTGCTTTGAATGCAATATTCCTGCTTCTTGGCAGAATGGGGTTGGACTGGATGGCCCATGAGGTCTCTTCCAACTCTATGATTCTATGGTTTTCCCTGTAATACACAGTAAGACCACCTAAAGCTTCAGAGAGCTTCTGTTCAACCATTTCAAAGCTACCTGCTTGGGCGGTGATGGCACAGCCAATCCCTTCGAGGATGTTTAGCTTGGAGAAGAGAAGCTGGAGAGGGGACATGCAAGATATGTTTTAGTGTTTGAAAGGATGCCACACTGAGGAGGGGGCAGCCTTGTTTTCTGCTGTTCTGAAAACTAGGACACAATGGAGCAATTGATTCAAATTGCAAAAAAGTGACTTAAATCAAGAAATAGTTTTCTAAGATTTACAGAGACACTCTCAGCAAGCGAGAGTCCAAAAGTGGCAGGCTCAAACCCAGAACCTCAATCAATGATTTGATACCAAATGAGGGACTCCCCCTGGGCACACAGAAGACTGGGCGACTTGGAAAGCGCTGAACAGACTGTGCTCTGGTACCACGAGGTGCAGAGCCAACCTTAGGAAATGGGGCTACAAAGTGGAATCCACGACATGCGAGTGTGGAGAAGAGCAAACCACTGACCACCTTCTGCAATGCAACTTGAGTCCTGCCACATGCACAAGGGAGGACCTTCTTGTGGCAACACCAGAGGCTGAAGATACTGGACAAAGGACATTTAATAAAATAACAAGTTTGTCAACTTTGTGTTTTGTTTGTTTGTTTGTTTTTAATGCATTACAACTGCTTTGGTTCACTCCTGACACGATAAATAAATAAATAAGTCCATATGAAACAGTTGTGGAGATTTCCACTATTGTCTACTATCATCTCCTTACCTTATCTTGCTGAATGGATGCCACATCAGAAAGAGTGGAGCTGCCGTGTCTTCCCAGCCCCCTTGGCTCGTCTCCTGTGAAATAGCAAACATAGGAAGAGAAGCGAAGCTGGATTGCTCTGTTTGTTTTTCAAAGCTCATTTTGAAGACGCAAAGCTGTTTACAATTTAAACAACACAAAAGGGGAACAAGAAGACATCCTCAAAAAAGGCCTGAAGGAACTGGAAAGGGTTCGATAATGGTGCAAGCATTCCTGAGGGGCAGCCCATTCCATACAATAACAGCTTGGATTTAAATATTCTTAAAACCATTCTTGAAACATTCTAACAAAACAGCTGCTCTGGACACACAATTTGAGGGACAGAATAGAATGTCAGACGTTTGGGAGATCTTGGAACAGCCCCTCTGTCCTCCTCTAACAAAACAGCAATGGAAACATGGATTTGGAAACACAACAGCAGACCCAACACTTGGGAGTTTCTTGAGAGCAAGAATCAAGCAAATGAAGACATCTTACCTGGTAGAAACTCTCCTTTGCCTTCCTCCAGCTTGATCCACCCAGAAGGGAAGCCCTGGCTGGTGTTGCCTGGTGGGGCCTCCTGGGTCTCTCTCTCCTGCCGCTCTTCCAGCAGCGCCTTCTCCTCTTGGGCCCAACTCAGGAGGAATCCTTCAGCCAAGGCCACGGCCTGGGAACTGGTCTCTGCCCCACATTCCCTCACCCAGCGCTCCATCTCTGCAGGAAGGATGGCCAGGAACTGCTTCAGGACCACCAGGTCCAACATCTCCACCTTTGTATGTTCCTCAGGCTTCAGCCACAGGCGGCTCAGAGAGTGGAGGTGGCTGCAGACCTCTCGCGGTCCTAAAGTCTCCTGGAAACGGAAGCGCTGGAAATATTGGCACTGAAGGACTGCGCTGAACTCCTTCTTCTTCTGGGCATCCTGACCCATTCTGCCTGGGAATCCCACACTTCTCCTGCCCCACATTTCATTGGGCTCTCTTCCCCCTTCAGGGATGGTCTGGTTTGGCTGCTCCGCCTTCACTCTGGGCTCCATTGGGGCTGAAGAACCTCTTCCCTTCTCCATCGGAAGATATCACAAAGCAAAGGCTACGCAAGACAAAGGGAAGATGAAGTCCAGGTCAAGGGTCTACCTCCCTCAAGAGATAAGGGGTCTTAACCACCCATTTTTGTGTTGCCACTGTAAGAAAAACAGAGCCCTGGGAGTTTAGTGCAAACTGCATGAAGAAACACTCTGGGAATCCCCTCACATTGCTCTTCCCTTCCTCTTCTTCCCACCTTCAGCCCCACTTCCCTTGTTCTGAAACTGAGAGGAATCCTGGGAATTGTGAGGTGATGAAGTCCTTCTCCTTCCCTGCCAAAGAGTGCTGGGGCCTCACCCAACTCCCCCTCCCAGGAGGGCAGACCATTCAGACAATGCAGTCCAAGTGGCCCCAAAGTGCATTCATTCTGTGATGCAGATGCTTCACAGGAGAACATAGCAAGCTCTCATGGCTAACTTCAAATGGGCCCCACGTTTCCCATGTGAGCTTGCCTCCAAATGGTTCTAACTTCAGCCCCTTTCCTCCTTCCCCTCCTGTCTCTCCAGCCCTCCTTGTCCGGTCTCCCAGGTAGACTTAGGAGGTCTGGATGGTCTTCCTGCCTTGGTCTCTTCCCTTCCCTTGGGAGCCTCAGAGAGAGGGTCTCCTTCTCCTGCCTGGAGGGAGGCCAGGCTGAGAGGAAGGAAGGAAGCAAGGAAGGAAGGAAGGAAAGAAGGAAGGAGAGGAGGAAGGAAAGAGAGAAGGAGGGAAGGAAGGAGAGAAGGAAGGAAGGAAGGAAAGAAAGAAGAAAAGGAAGGAAAGAGAGAAGGAAGGAAAGAGGAAGGAGTAAAGAGAAGAAAGCAAGGAAAGAGAGAAGGAAAGGCGTAAAGAGAAGGAAGGAAGGAAAGAAAGAGGGAAAGAGAGAAGGAAGGAAGGAGAGAAGGAAGGAAAGAAAGAGAGAAGGAAGGGAGGAAAAGAGAGAAGAAAAAAAGAAAGGAAAAGGAAGGGCAACTGGAAGAGAGTATTAAGTCCTTTCATGAAAGTCATGCAGGCAGTCAGGACGTAATTCCTGACGTAATGACTTAAGGTCCGTAAGTAATCTTTATCCCGATGCATGAACCGGCGAGCCATCCTTACCGACATCCCTATGGCTATATTCGAGAAGGAAGAAGAAGGAAGGAAGGAAGGAAAGAAGGAAGGAAGGAAGGAAAGAAGGAAGGAAGAGAGAAGGGAGCGGTGGGGGGGGGGGAGGACACACGACATAACCTGGCTAGACTGGGGATTAGCTGTGCACGTGCCCTTAGGTTCCCTCTTTCTCCCGGCCAGGGATGCTAGGAATTGTAGTCCCCATGTTTCCCGGTAGAGCTTTGTTTCCTCCCCAGAGGCAGCCTTCCCTCCAGGCTGAGTAACGAGGAGAGGGGGGTCTTCTCCCCATCCCGATCTGTGGTGCCCCCCTCCCAAACCCAAAGAAGGGGGCAATGAGGACTCACCGCATGTTCCCGAGAGGATCAACTCCTGCCTCTGAAACTCCCGGGAGAAGTGCTGATGTGGGCGGGGCCTCTCTTCTCCGGCCACGCCCCCTTTCCCCGCCCTCCTCTTAGGACTCCGCCCTTTCTGCCCTTCTGGGTGGGTGGGAAGGAGGGAGGGGGTCACTAGGCCATGTTTTGGGGCAGCCCCTCCCTCCCGCCTGTTGGGACCCTGACCCTGGGTATGAACCCCTTCCCTGCAGAAAGGAAGAAAGACACACAGAGAGAGGCGCCTCTTAAGGGATTTCAAATTCTACAGCACTGCTGGTCACAGCTGACCTCCAGCTGGAGCGCTCAAGGGCCAGGGCTTCCCAGTTCTCAGTGTCTATGCCACAGTTTTTAATGTTGGCTTTGAGCCCATCTTTAAATCTCTTTTCCTGTCCTCCAACATTCAGTTTTCCATTCTTGAGTTTGGAATAGAGCAACTGCTTTGGGAGATGGTGGTCGGGCATCCAGACAATGTGGCCAGCCCAGCAGAGTTGAGAGCGGAGGAGTCAAAACAGACAAGCCGAACAGTGCCTTCGGCGCACTGCAAGAATCCGACAGAAAAAGATAAGGGACTCTCAATTAAAGCAAAACCAATTTCTGAGTGCTGGGGATAACTTAACGAGGGGATAAAAGTTCCAAGTATGGGAAATATAGTCAGCTGAAGCATCGCTTGGGATCAAGTTAAGTTCTCGTCCTTGTTCATGGAAGTCTAACTTGGAAGATTCATGCTTAAGTATTTCTTGTTTCATGGTTTTGATTCTTGGGTTTTATGACTACATACTCATGTCTGGATTATATTAGAGAAGTGTGGACTTCGTTTTCATGAACTGCTGAACTTTACCCTGGACTGTTTTGTTCCTGCTTATCTTCTTACCTAATGCTTGCATGCTGGTCGCTTCTGTGGCGAGAGAATCAGCCGTCTACGAAGACGTTGGCCAGGGGACGCCTGGATGTCTTGCAATCCTGCAAGGAGGCTTCTCTCATGCTGATGATCGTGCCATTACTGCTCAAACAGGGAGCTTTGAGATGGTTGTACAGAAGCTCTCCGAAGCTCTAGGTGCTCTTACAGCCTATTACAGGGGAAACCAGCTAATCCAGAAGGGATAGAAGAGAGTTTCATCTATGCTGATGATCGTGCCATTACCGCTCAAGCAGGTAGCTTTGAGATGGTTGAACAGAAGCTCTCCGAATCTCTAGGTGCTCTTACTGCCTATTACAGGGAAAACCAGCTGATCCCTAACCCATCTAAAACACAGACATGTGCCTTTCACCTTAAGAACAGACAAGCATCCCGAGCTCTGAGGATCACCTGGGAAGGAATCCCACTGGAGCATTGCAGTGCACCCAAATACCTGGGAGTCACTCTGGACCGTGCTCTGACCTACAAGAAGCACTGCCTGAACATCAAGCGAAAAGTGGGTGCTAGAAACAATATCATACGAAAGCTGACTGGCACAACCTGGGGATCACAACCAGACACAGTGAAGACATCTGCCCTTGCGCTGTGCTACTCTGCTGCTGAGTATGCATGCCCAGAGTGGAACACATCTCACCACGCTAAAACAGTGGATGTGGCTCTTAATGAGACATGCCGCATTATCACGGGGTGTCTGCGCCCTACACCACTGGAGAAATTACACTGCTTAGCCGGTATTGCACCACCTGACATCCGCCGGGAAGTAGCAGCCAATAGTGAAAGGACCAAGGCAGTGACATCTCCAGCTCATCCCTTGTTTGGGTATCAGCCAGCACGTCAAACTTAAATCTAGAAATAGTTTTCTAAGATCTACAGAGACACTCGCTGGAACACCTCAGCAAGTAAGAGTCCAAAAGTGGCAGGCTCAAACCAAGAACCTCAACCAATGGCTGATACCAAATGAGAGACTCCCCCCTGGGCACACAGAAGACTGGGACGACTTGGAAGGCGCTGAACAGACTGCGCTCTGGCACCACGAGATGCAGAGCCAATCTTAATAAATGGGGCTACAAAGTGGAATTCATGACATAGAATCATAGAATCAAAGAGTTGGAAGAGAGCTTATGGGCCATCCAGTCCAACCACCTGCCAAGAAGCGGGAATATTCCAGGTGTGGTTTAGAGGGAATTGATCATGAATTCTGAGAATTGTAGCTCACCTGCATCCAGATAGTACTGAACCCAGCCGATGACAGATCTGGACCAAACTTGGCACACAGACCCAAGATGGTCAACTTGGGGAGGACTGAGCCACAATTTTGGAAATTGGCAGGAAAAACAAAATGCAAAGATACAGAATGGGGGACAAGGCCTGGCTCGAGAGCAGTACGTGCGAAAAGGATCTTGGAGTCCTCGTGGACAACAAGTTAAACATGAGCCAACAATGTCATGTGGCGGCAAAAAAAGCCAATGGGATTTTGGCCTGCATCAATAGGAGCCTAGTGTCTAGATCTAGGGAAGTCATGCTACCCCTCTATTCCGCTTGGTTAGACCACACCTGGAATATTGTGTCCAATTCTGGGCACCACAATTCAAGAGAGATATTGACAAGCTGGAATGTGTCCAGAGGAGGGCGACTAAAATGATCAAGGGTCTGGAGAACAAGCCCTATGAGGAGCGGCTTAAGGAGCTGGGCATGTTTAGCCTGAAGAATAGAAGGCTGAGAGGAGATATGATAGCCATGTATAAATATGTGAGAGGAAGCCACAGGGAGGAGGGAGCAAGCTTGTTTTCTGCTTCCCTGGAGACTAGGACGCAAAACAATGGCTTCAAACTACAAGAGAGGAGATTCCATCTGAACATGAGGAAGAACTTCCTGACTGTGAGAGCCGTTCAGCAGTGGAACTCTCTGCCCCGGAGTGTGGTGGAGGCTCCTTCTTTGGAAGCTTTTAAACAGAGGCTGGATGGCCATCTGTCAGGGGTGATTTGAATGCAATATTTCTGCTTCTTGGCAGAATGGGGTTGGACTGGATGGCCCACGAGGTCTCTTCCAACTCTTTGATTCTATGAAACTGTAGTTCACCCTCATCCTTATGCATTTTCTAATGGGAGCATTCATTAGAAAAACAAAACAAAATCAGAGACTGATTTTTTCTGAGAAATACCATTACAAATTGCCAAACTGATATTACCTGACATCCAAAAAACAAACAATTCCTCTTTCAAATAACCTGGGCATGGCTGCGTACCCAAGCTAGTATATATATTATATATATGACAGTATGCCAAAGGCATCAGATTCTGATTTTGAAAGCTAAAAAGGGTCAGACCAGGATAGTATTTGGGTCCTCGGGGACTTCACCTCTGCCTTTCTCTGAGGCTGAGGGAACGTCACTTGCTCCAGAAACACCAGTCAGTTTCCAAGGCCAAGTGGGGCTGCAAGCTCTGCCTTACAGAGGGACAGCACAAGGCTCAAAACATTA